TGGTAAGTCTTTGGGAACAGAGAGTAATACATCCTTGGAGTGCCTTGGGTTGAATGTACCTAGTTCATACATTCCTTGAATCAATCTTGTCCTGAGAGAGAAAGTGCATACCAGAAGTGCGTGAGTGCGTTGCACTAAGTGCATGTTCAAAGTGAGTAGGTGCATGCTTGCATGACGGTAGCGCGAGCGTGTCTGAAGTTCGTGAGTGAGTTTGCCTGGAACAAGTCTCACGGTCAAGCAGAATGTGAAGAAAAATGTATTGTAGAAAGTGTGGTAGAGGTAAGTGACGGTAGGTGGCCCTGACGGCGTCCTGCTCTGTCAATTTAGCAACCAATGACGTCGTAATCACGTATGTCAAGACTCCAGGCGTCGTATCCACGGGCGCCAGACGCCAGGCGTCGTATCCACGGTTGTCAGACGCCAGGTATCGTATCTACGGGCATCAGACGCCAGGTATCGTATCTACGGGCATCAGACGCCAGGCGTTGTATCCATGGGTGTCAGGCGTCAGGTGTCGTATCCACGGGTGTCAGACGCCAAGCGTCGTACTCATGGGTATCACACACCTGGCGTCGCACCCACGGGTATCACACCTCGCACCGTACCCACGGGTGTTATACACCCGTGGTCGTACCCACGGATGTCACTCACCTGGCGTCGCACTTACGGGTGTCACACACCTGCGTCGCACCCACGGGTGTCACACCCGGCGTCGCACTCACGGGTGTCACACACCTGGCGTCGCACCCACGGGTGTCACACACCTGGCGTCGCCCCCACGGGTGTCACACACCTGCGTCGCATCCACGGGTGTCACACACCTGCGTCGCATCCACGGGTGTCACACCCGGCGTCGCACCCACGGGTGTCACACCTGGCGTCGCACCCACGGGTGTCACTCACCTGGTGTCGCACCCACGGGTGTCACACCCGGCGTCGCACCCACGGATGTCACACACCTGGCGTCGCACCCACGGATGTCACACACCTGGCGTCGTACCCACGGGTGTCACACCTGGCGTCGCACCCACGGGTGTCACACCTGGCGTCGCACCCACGGGTGTCACACCTGGCGTCGCACCCACGGGTGTCACACCTGGCGTCGCACCCACGGGTGTCACACACTTCGTCCTGAGTCACTGTCAAGGCACAACTAAGCGACAGCAAACAGAAAACCAGAGGACAGGCCGAAACGTATCTTCTGGTATTGTCTGCCTTTTCTCGCTTCATCGCGACTTGACGATTATTCAGGACGGACCGAAACGTCGGTACTATAACTTTTAATGAACATGAGTTTATAAAGATGCAACCCGAAGTTGGTGATAGAGTTAGTGGTAGATCGGTAAGTTAATTTGTCTTACTAATACGACGGAAATGAAGTTAGTAGTAGATCAACTTGTTATGGCTACTTGTTAATACAATAAGAGCAAAGATAGTGGTAGATCAACTTGTTATGGCTACTTGTTAATACAATAAGAGCAAAGATAGTGGTAGATCAACTTGTTATGGCTACTTGTTAATACAATAAGAGCAAAGATAGTGGTAGATTTAACTTGTTATGGCTACTTGTTAATACAATAAGAGCAAAGATAGTGGTAGATCAACTTGTTATGGCTACTTGTTAATACAATAAGAACAAAGATAGTGGTAGATCAACTTGTTATGGCTACTTGTTAATACAATAAGAGCAAAGATGGTGGTAGATCAACTTGTTATGGCTACTTGTTAATACAATAAGAACAAAGATAGTGGTAGATCAACTTTGTTATGGCTACTTGTTATACAATAAGAGCAAAGATAGTGGTAGATCAACTTGTTATGGCTACTTGTTAATACAATAAGAGCAAAGATAGTGGTAGATCAACTTGTTATGGCTACTTGTTAATACAATAAGAGCAAAGATAGTGGTAGATCAACTTGTTATAGCTACTTGTTAATACAATAAGAGCAAAGATAGTGGTAGATCAACTTGTTATGGCTACTTGTTAATACAATAAGAGCAAAGATGGTGGTAGATCAACTTGTTATGGCTACTTGTTAATACAATAAGAGCAAAGATAGTGGTAGATCAACTTGTTATGGCTACTTGTTAATACAATAAGAGCAAGATAGTGGTAGATCAACTTGTTATGGCTACTTGTTAATACAATAAGAGCAAAGATGGTGGTAGATCAACTTGTTATGGCTACTTGTTAATACAATAAGAGCAAAGATAGTGGTAGATCAACTTGTTATGGCTACTTGTTAATACAATAAGAGCAAAGATAGTGGTAGATCAACTTGTTATGGCTACTTGTTAATACAATAAGAGCAAAGATAGTGGTAGATCAACTTGTTATGGCTACTTGTTAATACAATAAGAGCAAAGATAGTGGTAGATCAACTTGTTATGGCTACTTGTTAATACAATAAGAGCAAAGATAGTGGTAGATCAACTTGTTATGGAAACTTGTTTGTTAATACAAAATGAACAAAGACAGTGGTAAATCAATACGTTACGCTTACTTATACAAAAACAAAAAATAATGGTAAAGCAAAACATCACGCTTATTGTTAATACGACAAGAACAAAGTCAGCTGTAGATCAGTACGTTACGCTTGCTTGCTAATACGACATGAACATTAATAAAAACTGTCCGCGACCAAACCGGCTTAGCTCGGCACAAGCCTCGTTTCTCTCTTTTTTTTTCTGAGCGCCTGAGGTCGAGAAGTGCAGTGTTTTTGTCGCTTCTCCATTGTCTCCCGTTGGTCGAGCAGCCAGTTAACTTGATCGTCTTTGTTGATCCGGATTCTGTAAGCTGCGTCACAGGCCTTGCATTAAGGGAAGTGCTCATTCTTACTGTCTGCGGCTGCCCACTTCTGTCTGCTGTTGCTGGTCACACCTATCTGCTTGCTTGCTGTTATTGGTCAACCTTTTAAGTTTGTCTTACCGCTGTTGGCCACACCTCTCTGCTTTTTTCACTGTTGTTAGCTACACCTGCCTACTTCTCTTGCATATTGGCCACACCTATCCACTTCTCTTGCATGTTGGCCACACCTATCGGCTTCTCTTGCATGTTAGCGACACCTATCCACTTGCATGTTGGCGACACCTGTCTGCGTCGTTCGCTGTTGTTGGCTACACCTGTCCACTTCTCTTACATGTTGGCCACACCTATCCACTTCTCTTGAAGTTAGTGGCCACAGCTATCTACTTCTCTTCCGCTGATGGCCACACTTGTCTAGTGTTTCGTGCTGCTTATTGGGCATCTCTGTAAGCTTGTCTTACTCCTGTTAACCACACTAGTCTGCATCTCTCCACCACCCCTGTCTGCTTCTGGCAGTTTCTAATAATGCTTTACTTACTGTTGATCATGCTGTATAACTGTCGTCGCTGGGGCTCCTTGCAGTTCTTCAAAATTTTCTGCTCTTGCAGTCACTGCTGCCACTGCTCCTTCTGACCTACTGTGGTATTCTTATTTGCTTCACCATCACTCCCACATATATTTTACATACAAACAGCTGTAAACTAGATGTGGCAAATTTTCGACTAAACCATATATAAACTGCTATGTTCAAGTTCATGTATGAGACCGAACTAATATATAAAGCAGTAAGAGAAACAGTGTGTGTGTGTGTGTGTGTGTGTGTGTGTGTGTGTGTGTGTGTGTGTGTGTGTGTGTGTGTGTGTGTGTGTGTGTGTGTGTGTGTGTGTGTGTGTGTGCGTGTGTGTGTGCGTGTGTGTGTGCGTGTGTGTGAGAAAGAGAGAGAGGGGGGGGGAGACGGAGGGGAGTGGGCTACATAAAATGATCAGAACATTTATTATAAGGCAGGAGAGCTTGTCCAAGATTCAAGAATAGTCATTATTCATATGGAGTATATGCTTATGTTTCATGAGTGTACCAGGTGAATCTAAATTGCTGACATAACTGTATTGAGGAACTAGTTCTCTAACATTTCACTGTGGTTTGAATGCGTGCCTGTAATAACGAATATCTGTCATTATATATAATATATATATATATATATATATATATATATATATATATATATATATATATATATATATGTATATACATATATACGTGCGTGTATGTGTGTGTGTGTGTGTGTGTGCACCTCGACCTCAAAAGGCCGTGATGGGAAGCGAATTCAGATCTGGTATGTCATGAAGATTGAGTGTAATAATGTAATCAACTCATGCTTGTTATATTGTTTAATATTTCCTGTCTGCCATAAACACATACTTATCGTGAGGTGCGGTTATGTAAGGCTGTGTTGAGTGGCGGGTGGCGGGTGTTTGCGCCCAGGGGACCCGCCAGGGTTGGTGACCCGCCCGAAATTTCAATGCCACGTCAAGAGCCTATCTTACTCATCTACATTACTCCAGCCACTCCTTGCTGATTCAGCAGCCTCTCCACCACATCCTTCCCTGTCTTACCTTACATTCCCCTTCATCTCATCCTATTCTGTTTGTTTCGCACCTTTCTTTATTCCACCCTTCCCTGTTTACATAGAAGCGTTTTTCATTCTACCATTATCTGCCTGTTCTCACATGGCTCTTAGCTCCCTAAAATACTATTTACTAGGTGAGGAGACTGCAGCGTATTTTAAAGATACTTTTAAATATATAATTCATGGTTCAAAGCATAAACACATTTTATGCATTTTATAAGAAGTACTGTCAATACTCTAGCTAATTTTATTACTACTCCTAATAGATTTACGAGATTTACTGTTATAAATATATACTGGATTTAGTTCATAGACACTGACGTTTATTTTACGTTGTCGATGATAATAATAAAGAACTGCAAATGGCATATAAATATAGCTACATATTATGTGGGTCAAATTTCTTTTTACTGAATCTACGATTACAAAACTATCCTTAATAAGCCTGAATCAACATTAGCCGATTTATTTGACTAAAATACTATAATTTATATTACAATGAACTATTTACCTGAAAGAAGCCTTCCTAAAAGGGAGGCTTAACAAGACTTTAATTAAATACTTACCTATAGGCCCAATGGGATCGTTCGTCAAGCGCTGATTAGAGGCAACTGACGTTGCGAGTGCAGTAGGTGAAGGGGGTTGTAGCGCGGAGCTGCTGCTTGTGTTTTCCAGGAGCTCCTACGGCCGACTGAGCTCCTCACGCGACTTGCCTACCTCCTCTGCTCTCTCGCCCCGGGGGTGGGAGGCGGTACACGGCCTGCTGGGACGACGCCAGCTGTAGCCTCAGGCATTGGCCCTACCACCAGCAATAGGAGACCCAGGTAGCGCTTCTCCAACAACATAAGGAAGTGAGGCTACACCAAGAACATGAGGATGGAGGTGGCGCCTACTATCACCAAAGTCATGGTGGTGAAGCCCCCACCATGAGATGATAAAGGCTACAATTCATCTACATCGAAAGATGAAAGTAGCGTAACATCATAGTTAAGATAATCGTGATAACCTTATTCCTCAAATATCCAGATCTAAATATTTGTGGCTTCTGATGAGTCCGCTTGGTTCTCGACCCCACTACCTTCCTTTTCTATTTCTTGCACAGTTTTTTTGGTGCATCTTCATCAATCATTACGTCGACACTCGTCAAGTGAAAAGAGAAGTTAATCTCAAATTCTCAATCTCAAATTCGCGATCTCAAATTCGCAAAGTTAATCTCAAATTCTCAACTTTTTTTGAAGCATTTTTGAAAACGAGAGCGATATTTATGAAGTCAAATATCGGCCCTGAAACTAAAAGGACCTTTCCAATTGTCGTACTTGGTTTTTCTATTTTTTTTTTTTTTTTGGTTATGTTAGGGATGATTTGGCAGGTAGCGTCAATCTGGGAAAATTTAGAACCTGGAATGTTGGAGGTTCAAACCCATGGGATTTCCCTAAACACTATTCAAATCAGTTCAAAATTCGTAGTTTCTAGGGTAGAGACAGGTAGTTATCACACCAAAGGTAAAATGATGCGCCTTAATCTATAAGCTAGATAATTTTATGGTTCAGAATATAGTTCACGACCTTAAAAGTGAAAAGATTTTTCACTGAAACTTAGACTGTGTTATTTGCAAAAGAAAATAAACTTGTCTCTGGCACTGTGAGATTTCTTGTCCTGGAGTTTATTCAATCTTTATTGTGCATTTAAACCAGCAGATTATTTGTTTGATATGTTAAGTAAATTACCAAACAGTTTAATGAGCTTTCATGGGAACAATATGGGTTTTATAACTTCATTAATTGGATTTTTTCCAAAATTTAATCGTCACCTCAACACTATCATTCTAAGTGTGTACATCTTAATTTACACCTCTCAGCTTGCACAGAAGGTAACCTTATAATACAAATCAGAGGTCCCAGAGCCTCTGCTGAGTGGATTACACAAGCAATGCTGACAATGTTTTAATTCAGGCTTCACTTAGTGCTGTTTTTTGAGGCCCCACTCTAAATGTATCATTCTTTGAAGCTCTACCTCGAGGGTTCTAGTCTTAGAATTCATTTAACGGGTTTCAATTTTGGAAACTGTGTTCAGAGGCTTCCAGTCTTTCAGGCTGTACTTCGAGAAGTTTCACTTTGATGGTACCATTCTTGGAGGATCTACTTCAAACTTGCCATTCCTTAAGGTTCTGCTTCAAGGCTATCATTCCTGTTATGGTGGAAGTAATGGTCTATTTACTTCTATCGAGGAAGTATAACCTTAGCCGGAAGAGCCCCCACTTCTCACCGCTTTCTGGTCAGGACTATAGAGACTAAACTCGACGTGAACATTCTTTCAATATCACTCAAGGTTATCTCCACAAACTTGATCCAAGATTTCTAGTAGACATGTTGTTTTCTCAACCGTGATGAGCAAATGCCCATCCGTGGCTGCTGTGATGAGTGAACACCCATCCGTGGCAACAGTGATGAGTGAACATCCATCCGTGGCAGTTGTGATGAGTGAGCACTCATCCGTGGCAGCAGTGAGGGGTGAACACCCATCCTTGGCAGCAGTGAGGAGTGACCACCCATCCTTGGCAGCAGGGAGGAGTGACCACCCATCCGTGGCAGCAGTGAGGAGTGACCACCCATCCGTGGCAGCAGTGAGGAGTGACCACCCATCCGTGGCAGCGGTGAGGAGTGACCACCCATTCGTGGCAGCAGTGAGGAGGAAACCCATATGTGGCGACAATGATGAGTGAACACCCATCCTTGGGGACAGTGATGAGTGAACACCCATCCTTGGGGACAGTGATGAGTGAACACCCATCCTTGGGGACAGTGATGAGTGAACACCCATCCTTGGGGACAGTGATGAGTGAACACCCATCCTTGGGGACAGTGATGAGTGAGCACCCATCCTTGGGGGACAGTGATGAGTGAACACCACCCTTGGCGACAGTGATGAGTGAACACTCATCCATGGGAACAGTGATGAGCGAACACACATCCGTGTCAGCAGTGATGAGTGAGCATCCATCCTTAGTGACAGTGATGGGTAAACACCCGTCCTTGGCGACAGCGATGAGTGAACACCCGTAGCAGCAGTGATGAGTGAAAACCTGTCCGTGGCGACAGTGATGAGTGAACACACATCCGTGGCGACAGTGATGAGCGAACACACATCACTGTCAGCAGTGATGCGTGAGCATCCATCCTTAGTGACAGTGATGGGTAAACACCCATCCTTGGCGGAAGTGATGAGTGAACACCCGTGGCAGCAGTGATGAGTGAAAACCTATCCGTGGCGACAGTGATGAGTGAACACACATCCGTGTCAGCAGTGATGAGTGAACACTGAGCTGTTACACAGCAGTTATATAAGTTAAGAACAGCTGTGGCAGCAGTTATAAGAACAGGTAACACAGTGTTGATATGACGAGGTGAACACACTGATCAACACACTACTGTTTCCCCGGAACTACTTACTAGTATATAATAACAGAGTAGATATAAGAGTTGCACTTACACAATCGCACAAGTAATCGCTCTTCTCCACCACCGAGACTTAAACGTTCAATAATTATCAGTTTGGTACTTGACTTCAGGTAATGGTCACGCAGAAGCACACCAAACAAGACAAGAGTTGGTACAGCCATCTGGGAAATAGCTGGTTTCTGTTATATTTTGTCGTATCTTCCTGCAACACTGGAATTAAGTTCTCTTCCTTTTCTAATTTTAGTTTCTGAAGTTATGCAAGAAAAAGCTCTGATCATTGGGCCAAACGAGATTCTTAATGAATGTCTTTACTTCGGCTTAATATTAGTCGAGGATTTTGGGAAAATTATTTATCACCCCATTTTTCACTGGATAAGACATTAAGAATTAAAACAAAAACTCAAGACCAAGACTGGAACAACACAATCCCCACATAGGAGATTGAAACTTATGACTGGTGTGACTAGTTAATGGTTAAGTCAGACGGTGATAAGGGTCCAGGCTGGACCGAAACGTCATCTAGCTTAATTTCAAATTTTGTGAGTTGTAAACAAATTGAGACGTTGGATCATTTATTGAAGCATCACCACTTTTTCCATAACTCCATATTAACCAAGTTGCTGAGGCACCTTGTGCAGTCTTCATACATGTCTAGAATATATAACAGCAATGCAGAGATTAACTCATTTTCTAAAGGAAAACAAATTGCAAAATTGGTTCTCATTCGCAAAGTTTATATACTCAAGTATGCTAAAAATTTCAGATCTGGGAGCTCTTGGTAATATTAAATAAAGACTCAAACATAGTATACCATTCCTGAATTTCTTTTTTAATGTTGATTTAAGAAACATGCTAGTCGTTCATTTCTGTTCATGGTTAAGTCATACATTAAAAAAAAAAAACTAAATATTAAAAATATCAACAACATATTCATAGAAATGAAAGAAAACACACCTCAGTATCTCTTACTTTTCAGAATATCACTTCGTCCTTAAACTAACGTTTATTAACCATTCAGACCAAAACTCACTGTGATTTAGTTACTAATAATAACTGCACATTTTTACTAGGGACAGATCCTGCTCATTTGCTCTAAAGCATTGGTCGTTTCCCACCCAGGCAGCGATGATCCAGAGTCACTGCATGGAAAAGTGGTAAACTAACCTCTCGTGACCGTGGAGAAGGAAACATTAATGAGAACTATTAAGAAATGCACGGGAAAATAAAAATAGTTGTACATTTATTGAAAATTGAAGGTTGTAGAAGTTATCTGCCACAATGTATGTTCATGATGCAGATATTAGTATATATTTATGAAAAGGCGCTAAACCAAAAATGGCTACACGGAGTGTGAGATAATCAAGTTCACTAACATCATTAGGTACATGCTACCGACAAGTCATTATTTTTATGAAAAGCATAATTTATTAGAACCATAAAATCGTGGAAAATTGTCAACAGTATACTTCCGGAAGAGAGTCTCTTTGTTTTGTTCTGTACGAAATGCTAAGATAAAGCACTTGTAATGCCAAGTGATAACCTGTGTAAAATGTCTTGTTGTAGTGTTTATGTTGCTGGTCAACACTGTCACATCTACTTGATCTGACCTGTGATTGGTCAGGTGGTGGTCAACACTGTTATATCTACCCTTCTTGACCCAGTGGTGGTCAACGCTGTTATGTCTACCTTTCCTGCACCTGTAACTTGTCAGGTGATGGTCAACATTGTTATATCTACCCTTCCTGGACCTGTAACTGATCATTATGGTAGTTATTAACACTGTTATATCTATCCTTCCTGGACCTATAGGCAGGACTGGAGTAAGGATTCATGACAGCTTAACACCAGCTGATATTAAGAGCTCATAATAATCTACGCAATCATAACAATTAAAGGTGTCAAATTCAAAGATGTTAAAATACAAAGGAAAACTTGAAAAGTCACAACTCATCTATACATTTAATGAAAGATTTTTTTTACTTGGGCCCTTTTGTGGCCAGAGGCCTGGGCTTCGGGCCCTTTTATGGTCGGAGGCCTAGGCCTGAACCTCATTCTAAGTGGCTTATGTGTTATCTCGGTCCTGCCCACGGCAGGTGAAATCTGGGTTGATACCGGCCTGAAGCTGCAGGCTGGAGGTGATGTGATTGTTGTCTAACGGACTCATGAGGTCTTAGCCGTTGGCGGGGTATGGTGGGGATCATGGTAGTGGTGGTGCTCTCTGAGTGTTGTGGGTGGAGTATGGTGCAGATCATGGTAGTGGTGATGCAGTCTTTACCACCATCACATGCAGTTACTGCCTGCCACATTATTCAGCAACTCTCCTGCTGGTTAATAAGAATCTACACTCAGCCTCTGACTGGTCTCAAGCATCAATATCAACTTTTTGCTCTTCATACAGAGACAGCTTCTCTACACCCTGACTTATGGTGTCACTGGTGCTTGTTTCATGTGGTAATACTGTTTACATCTTACGAGAGCTAGGTGTTTAGTTTGTGTGAGAGATTAATTGTGGTAGTTTCCGCGTAGAGTGTTTCCGGGATTAACACTTAGGTAAGCTGATTCCAGAACATGTCTCTAGTTGATGACCTGATCAGTTAA